AGATGTGAAAAGCGCTATATCAAATGGAAGGATTATTATTGTTATCACTGTTATTATTATTTTTATTATTATCTGCACAGCTGCTTGATTAGGCAAAGTAACTAAATTTGCAAAGGAAATAGTAGAAATTAACCAACCCTCAACAACAAATAATATTTTTTGGTCAGACGGGTGTGACACATACAGAAACCCGTTAACATGCTGAAGTTCTCTTGGTGTGATGCAATCCACATATCCCAGGGACCCCAGAGTGTGCCACATCTCTCCAGCACCTCCAGCCTCCATTCAGATGGATCTCTGCTATGGTCTATTGGGGCAGATGCCAACTTAGCGTCTTGTTCCCTCCAGACCCCAAGGATACCCTCATGGGTCTATTGTACGACATTGGACTTGTCCAACACTGGTTTGGGCCCAGAGGAGACCCTCCAGCCATAGCCAACAACAGAATTCACACAGCAGAAGAACGTTTTGGGATTGTCTTTCTGCAACAGCAACAACAAAATTACGTTTGTAAAGCGCCTTTCAAGTCGGGAGGACATCCCAAGCCACTGAACAGTCAGGGATCCGGACCTGAGTGTGGGGATCGGGGTCGGGTTGAAGGAGGGCAGAGCACCAGGAGGCCAGCTGAAGGAATATTTGATAAGGAGGGTCTTGAGTTGTGAGTTGAAGGAGGCAAGGGAGGGAGCAAGGCAAAGGGATTGTGGGATGGAGTTCGAAAGGGTGGTGGTAGAGAGGCTGAAAGCCTGGATACCGATTGTGGGGTGAGTCAGGTGGGAGACATAGCGCAGGCTGGAGGCTGCCAAATGGAGGGAGCGGACAGGTTGATAGGGGGCTAGCAGGTCAGAGAGGTAGGAAGGTGTAATCCAGTTGGAAGGCCTTGAAAGTGAGGACGAGGCTTTTGAATTCTATCCTCTGAGGGATGAGGCGCCAGTGGAGCCAGGCGAGGGTGGGGGTGATAGGGTCACAGATCCTGATGAGGGAGCGGATACGAGCCGCAGATTTCTGTGTGATCTGCGGGTTGTGGAGGGAAGAATTGGGGAGGCTGACAAGGAGGGAGCTTCCATAGATGAGCCTTGATGTGATGATGCATGTATGTTGGTTTCAGTGGCCTGATGGGTGGGGCAGTGGCAGAGTAGAGAAATGTTGCGGAGGTGGGGGACGGCAGAGCAGGTTGTGGCATGGATATGGGGGAGAAGGGACAGTTGAGGATCGAACAAGAAGACCAGGTTCCTGACTTGCTTGGTGAGGTGGAGTGTGCAACCATGGATGTTGTTATTGACAGTGCCTGGGGTGCAGAGGCGCTGGCGTGAGCCAATCAGGAGGGCCTCAATCTTGTTGAACTCAATTTAACATAAGATCATAACAAAAGAAATGCTAGACAAAAAAAAACAAGGTCCATGTCAATCGCCTTCCACATTCCTGGCAGTCGCTGGCACATATTACCCCAACTACCCATGTACTGTATCCCATAAGAACATCTCATCTGAAGGATGGCAGCTCCGACAATGCGGCACACCCCGAGCACTGCATTGGAGTGTCGTCTTAGACAATGTGATTCCAAGCCTCAACATAGGACTTGAACCCACAATCTTCTGATTCAGAGGCAAGAGTGCTATCACTGCATCGGAGGTGGAAGAAAACAATGCTGCCGAGGCACTGGATGTGGGGGAGGAAGAATAATAACCTGATGCCTAGGTTGCGTACAGTTTCGGAGAGTTTTAGGGGGAGGTCGGATAGGTGGAGGAGGTGAGAACCGTGAGATTTTAGACGTTGATGAGAGCCAAAGAGTATGGCTTCCGTCTTGTCAATGTTCAGGTGAAGGACATTTGCGCTCATCGAGCTCCTGAGGTCCAACAGGCAGGCTGACAGAACATCAGGGGACTGGGGATCGCAAAGTGAGGTGGAAAAATAGGGTACCCCACAGGTAACCGAGTGAGAGCGGGAGGCAAAGCCGTTTGTGTAGATGTACTTCTAGCTGTTTGTGAGGTAAGACTCAAACCAGGCGCGTTCGGTCCCACTGAGGTCTATGATGGAGGAAAAGCGGTGGAGGAGGATGGCGTGATTGACTGTGTCAAAAACGGCGGAGAGGTCCAGAAGGACAAGGAGGCAGAGGGAGCCTTGGTCACAGATAGAGGATGTCATTTGAGACTTTCACAAGTCTCTGTACTGTGGGCAGGGTAGAAACTGGACTGAAGGTATTCGAAGAGGGAATGGGAGGAGAGGTGTGCGCGAAGTTAATTGGCAACAATGCTTTCTAGGACTTTTGCGAGGAATGGCAAGTTAGAAATAAAGCATTAGTGGCTGGGGTTTGAGGGATCTACGGAAGGTTTTTTGAGGAGGGGCGTGATGACAGCAGTTTTGAGGGGGGCAGGGACTGATCTGGAGGAGAGGAATTGGTTGATGACGTCAGCCAGTAGTGAGCAGAGGAGGGGGAGCTGGGTGACCAGTAATTTGGTGGGGAGGGTGTCGAGGCAGCAGGTGGTGGGTTTCATGGAGGTAATGGTGGGTGAGAGGGAGGAGGGAGAGATGGGGAGGAAGGAATGTAGGATGGGGGTTGTGTGAGGGAGCAGATGATGGGGAGGATGAGGGGGACAGAGAGGGCGTGGTTGTAGGTTGCAAGAGGCAGGTGGATGAGAATGCTTAGCGGATCTTGTGTAATTTAGGTGAAAAGAAGTCCTTTTTTATCATTTTTTTTGGCATCCACCTCAGTGGGACTGCACTCGCCTGGTTCGAGTCATATCTCAAACCGCCAGCAGTACATCTGCACTTGGCATTGGATGTGAAGATTGAATAGACCTGAGGTGGGGCATGGAGAAGGTAGTGGGTGGTGAAAAAAAGGATTTTAGGTTTGTGTTTAGCTTCCAAGATGATGTTGGAGTAGAGGGCCGTCTTTGCACGTGTCAAGGAACGGCAGTAGCTGTGGAGATGCTCGAGCCACAGTTGGCGGTGAACTGTCAGGCCAGTTTTCCACCATCTGCGCTCGAGCAGCCCGGTTTTGAGTTTTCAGGCAGGGGAGATGGTTGTTGTACCAGGGGGATCGGGTGGATTTGGAGATGGTCTTAGATTTCAGAGGGATGAGGGGAATTTGAAGGTGGAGAGGCGATCATGGAGCAGCTGCACGGCTGCTTCAGGATCTCCGCAGATGGAAGGCCAGAGGGATAGGATATTTGATGATGTGAGGGCCTTTGTGAGGTTCTCAGGGTGTAGCCTTTTCCAAGGGCAGTAGAGAATGTTTGAGAGCTTGTTGGATGTGAGACGAGAAGGAGATGAGGAAGTGGTCCAGGATGGCCTTGTCCACTATACTAAGGTCGGAAATGTCAAGGCCGTGGGTGATGATGAGGTCAAAGACATGATCATAGATGTGGGTAGGTGAATTTATGTGAAGGGTGAGGTTTAGGGAGGAGAGGAGGGCAGTGAAGTTGACAGAAGTGGTGCAAGGGGAGTTTAGGTGGAGGTTGAAATCGCCCATTATGAGCAGAGGGAGCAGAGGGACAGGGAAGAGAGGAGAGTAGAGATGTCTGTGTGGACGGAGCCAGGGTGCTTAGGGGGACGGTAGACAAGGAGGATTTTCTATGGGAGAGAGGGATGGAAGAGGGTGAGCTGCCTGAAGGAAGGGAAGCAGCCAGAGGAGTAGGGGGAAAGACCAAGGGAGGCTTTGGAAATGAAGGCCACCCCACCGCCACATTAGTTTGGACGAGGGGTGTGATGAAACGCGTAGCCTGGAGGGGAGGCTGGTGGGTTTGCTGGAGGGAGGAGAGAGTGATGCGGAGAGGAATTTTGGGTGGAAGGGGAGATGGTTGTGGAGAATGGTGTGAGTGGAGATTGGAGAGGGTACATATGAGGGAGGGGGAAGGTGGGTTTGCCTTAGGGAGGAGGTTTGAGTGGAGGGAGTGCATGATTGGACACTGGGACAGCCAGTGCCTGGAGCCACGATGGGCCCAGCGGAGGATACCCAGGATGGAGCAGAGGGAAGTGGTGATGGGGTCGAGGAGTGAGAGAAGGCGGGGAGGGCGGTGGGAGAGAAGGACAGATGGGGATTAATGGATAAAGACGGGTGGGAGGAGAGATATTTAGGGTGGAGGGGGAGGCTTGGGTTGGGGCGGCAGCCAAAACGTCCACGCGGAGACCAGGAGCGAGCGATCAGCGGGATGGCATCAGCCGCAGGATGTGTGGTCATGGCTGGGATGGCAGTGGCGGGGGCTGCCAGGACATTATTGCTGTCTTATTTTTAATTGTGACGTCACACCGACATCACTTACCCTCCCCGCGAGCTCTCCTGACTTCGCTTCGATTGAATGGCTCCTCACCTGACTGTGCTTTATACCCGCAGCTAGGCCTCGGCTCTGCCCTGCGCTCTCATGACTCCGCTCCCGATAGTTAAAACACAAATATTTACAGGATTAAAGGCATACTGCCAGATGATCCTGTAACACTTGTGGGCAGTTCCTTGCAGCAACTTAATCTCCCATCTCTATGACTCCTTTGGCAACTGCTCAGACCACAAACACAGCCCTACTCGCCTGATTATGGACCTTTTTACCCCAATCCTGGTTTATCTTGTGTCTTCCCACTCCACAGGCCCTCGGCTATCCTGTACCAGCCACTTCCAGACTGTTTACGCTAGTCCTACTGCCCTCTAATAATACCTTGTTTGCGACTACACTTTCAGCTATGCAAGCAGTTGTCTTTTACTCAGTTCCTTTAACTAAGCATATTCTAACAACCTGCATCGGTGGCAAGCCTCCAGCTACTCCAGCCCTAGAATTCCATCACTCAGTCCTGGCCCCTGCCCCTCTGCCTTCAGTGACACCTCTTCTTTAGGCCAATGCGATACTACAACAATAACAACTTGCACTTTTATAGCCCCCACTTGAAAAACAGGATTAGCAATACTGGGCAGTTGCCTGATTTACATTTCCATGAGTCATTCTGTGACGAATTAAGACAGAGATGACTGATTTATTGGTGTGTATATATATCCATTGTAAATGTTTAACTGCAGAACATTCTCAGCCTTGCAGCCCTGGTTAGTCAGATATTATTCAACAAGAAGGTTGTGCTGATAATCCAGCGCTGTACACATGGACTGTCGGATTCAATATAAAATGAAGTCTTGTAAGGACAAAAGTAAGTTTAAAATGTTATTTCTCAATTTACAAACATGCTATCTGTCTGGATACTGAATGCAACCTTAGTTGCAAGAAGGTTGTTCAGCTGTGAATGTTAGCAATTTTGAAATCTTTTACCGGCTGCCATATTTGGATCTAATTTCTACTAGTAAATTCAATTTTTAACATTGTTGACATTGTCCATCTTTCTCTGCCATCCCTTTCTGGAATTTTTTTTGGCTCTGCCTGCTTTCACTAATGATTAATGTCTTCACCTTATCTCTTTTAACAGCTTCTCTTCAACCCCTAACAACAAAATTACATTTAGAGAGCGACTTTCACGTCGGAAGGACGTCCCAAGGCGCAGGACAATCAAAGGTCAGGACCTGAGTATGGGGGAGGGGTGGGATAGGGGTGAGGGAAGGCAGAGAGGTGAAATTTTGAATTTGATCCTCTAGGGGATGGGGAGCCAGTGGAATTGGGCGAGGGTGGGAGTGATGGAGTCACGGAGTCTGATGCACGAGAGTACCCGAGCTGCAGAGTTTTGGATGATCTACAGCTTGTGAAGGGAAGAGTTGGGAAGGCCGATGAGGAGGGAATTTCCATAATCGAGCCTTGATGTGATGAATGCATGGTGTCGGCAGCCTGAGGGGTGAGGCAGTGGAGGAGTATGGCAATGTTTCGGAGGTGGTGGAAGCCAGTGCCGGTCATGGTGCGGATGTGGGGGAGAAAGGACAGTTCAGGGTCAAAACAAGATACCGAGCACAATTCAGTGCAATGTTCCTCGGGGTTCTATACTCACTCACTATTTACAAAACCCATCTCAAGACCTGTCTTTTTGACGCTGGCTTCAACCATTCCCATCTAACACCCACTCCTATCTGACTCTCAATTCTGTCATCTACCTGTCTTTGTAAAGTGCCTTGAGATATTCTCCCCATGTGAAAGGTGCTATTTAATTAGAAACTGTTGTTACTGAGATCGAAAGATATTTAAAAATTAAGGGATTAAGGGATATGGGGATAGTGCAGGTAAATGGAATTTGGTTAGAAGATCAGCCATGATCTTATTAAATGGCGGGGCAGGCTCGAGGGGCCGATTGGCCTACTCCTGCTCCTAATTCTTATGTTCTTATCAGCTGGCAATGTTCCCATCCCCCTAAAAACAGCTATAATCACCCCCATCCTGAAAAAGCTTCCCAGGACCCATCCCTGATTTGTAACTACTGGTCAGTGCTTTGGGATGTCCACCCGACGTGAAAGGCGCTCTATAAATGGAATCTTGTTGTTGTCGTTGTCCATCTCCAATCTCCCTTCTCTTTCCAAGGTCCTTGAGACAGTCATTGCTTCCCAGCTTCGCTCATTCCTCTCCTACCTCTTCCTTCATGAGCCCCTCCAGTCGGGTTTCTGTGCTGATCACAGCATGGAAACCGCTCTCATCAAGATGACAAATGGCATCCTGTCCATCTGTGACGAGGGCTCGCTCTGCCTCCTCGTCCTCCTCAAGCTCTCTGCTGTCTTTGATACCGTGGACCACTCCATCCTCCTCTACTGCCTCTCCTCTCATCTCAAACTTTAAGTTTCTGTGCAAGAATGGTTATTTCTCACATCTTCTCCAATTTGTGTCCGCCAACGGTTTGTCTTCCAGCCCTTGCACAGTCGTGTGCAGTGTTGCACAGGCCTCTGTCTTCAGTCACCTCCTCTTCAACATCTACATGCTCCCACTTGGTAACATCATCCTAAGACACGGGGTCAACTCCACGTGCCCGTGGATGACTCCCAGCTCTATCTCTCTGCCTCCACCCTTGATTCCAGGACAACTGACCTCCTGACAGACTGACTGTCAGACTTTAAGTCCTGCATGAGAGCCAACTTTCTATAGCTAATGTCATCAAGACTGAGACCCTCCTGAATGGCTCGCACCAGCGCCTTCAGACCTCAAGCGTTGGCAGCAACAGCATCCATTGGATGCACACTCCACCGCACCAAGCCAGTTAGGAACCTGGGTGTCTTGTTTGACCCTCAACTGTTCTTTCTCCCCCATATCTGTGCCATGACCTGCTCTGCCTTCTCCCTCCTCTGCAGCATTGCCCAACTTCCCCATTGCCTCACCCCTCAGGCCGCTGAAACCCTCATACATGCATTCATCAACTCAAGGCTTGACTACGGAAACTCCCTCCTTGTCGGCCTCCCCAACTCTTCCCTCCACAAGCTGCAGATCACCAAAACTCTGCAGCTCGTATCCTCCACTTCACCAGGCTCCATGACCTCCATCACCCGCACCCTTGCCTGGCTCCACTGGTTCCCCATCCCTCGGAGGATAGATTTCAAAATCCTCGTCCTCACCTTCAAGGCCCTCCACGTCCTTGCCGCCCCACATCTCTGACCTGCTGACTCCCTATCAATCTGTCCACTCCCTCCGTTCAGCAGGCTCAGGCCTGCTCCATGTCTCCCACCCAACCCGCCCTACCATCAGCCTCTCTGCCCCCACTCTTTGGAACTCCATCCCACAATCCCTTTGCCTTCCTCCCTCTCTTGCCTCCTTCAAGGCACAACAAGACCTTCCTTTTCGACCATGCCTTCAGCCCCCTCCTACCCACTCTGCCCTCCCTCACCCCAACCCTGCCCCCTGCTCCCTTGGGTCCTGATCCTTGACTGTTCAGGCCTTGGGACATCCTCTTGACGTGGAAGGCACTTTACAAACATAATGTTGTTGATAGTGACAAATGTTGCAAATAGATTAGCAGAATATGGAGCATGGGGATATTCTGTGAGCAAAAGAAAAAGGTATTAGCGGGGTGAATGGGAGCTTCATAATTTTTGTGATCCTCAAAAAAATGTTAATTAACAGATAGTAAAAGCAGAGACCTTGGCGGTGCAAAAGGAAGAAGGTTCCTGAACTAGAAGGGACTTTCCTCTCTGACATCTCCACCTCAGAGTAATCTTCCGGCTGACCGTGATAGGGGTGATTATAGCTGCTTTTAGGAGGATGGGAACATTGCAAAATCCCTTCAGCAGCACTGCAATGGAGTGTCACCTCCTGCACAGTCTCCTACTCCCACAAGTCCCACTAGTGCACCAGCCACCTCCACTCCCTCAAGCCGAACGCATCTGGCATAAATCCTATCTAACGGTTGATCGCCAGATTTGACTGTCCCACATAGAAACCACCTCCGCCCATGCCTCAGCAAAATCGTCCTTCTACTCCAACATCATCCTGGAGGCCAAGGAAATCCCAGGCTCCTCTTCTCCAGGACAAACAACTCCTACTCCCACTCAGCTTTTCCCCCTTCCAAGATATCACCCTTCTTGACCATTACTTCTTCCCTTGGGCTGCTGAGATCCTTATCTTTGCATTTACTTATGCCCAGGCTTGACCATACCAACATTCTGGTTGCTGGACTAACCGTGTATTTCCTCTCATCCCGAAGTACCACAAGGGCTAATTTCCACCACTGAATAATATCTCCTTAAAAAGCTACTCAGATAACCTTTCCTTATTTCATATGTTCTTATACTCTCACATTCTTAAATTAAAAATATACTTATGCAACCTTACAGTGGAAGCCAGACACATTGGGGCTTGTTGTTTTGTCTGGTTTAAGTGGCGTCCGACGTTAACCAAATTTCTCTTACTTCTCCCTGCCCAGCAGAGGAATGGTGGCAGTACCTCCTCCCCCCCATTGCTGTTCTCATTGCACAGTGGGGTGGGGGGGACCAATTAGCAGTGGCTCTGAAGTGATTGACAGCCTGAAGCCACTTATGAATGGATGGGCAATCCACCCGTTCACAAGTGGCTCCAGCTGTCAATCAATCACGATTTTCCCTTTCCCTTCCTTGTGTCTTCCTTGTTCCTCCCTCATCTCACTGAAGAGCCCGAGTCCGCTTGTTAATGGCTCGACTCCATTGCCAATCAATCACAATTTGACTCCACCCAGAGCTGGTTGTGGCTGAATGGAGTCACTTGAGACACAGAAGGCACAAGTGAGTTGACGCAACAGCGATCAGTACGGCATTTCATCCAGATTTTGTCCAAATTACCCGGCATATTTAAAACGGGTATGAATTTAAATGAATTGTGGATGCTTTGTTTCATTTGCCCAGCGTCCAGGGTTACCCAGCATCTGACTAAAACAATTTCTACTGTATTTCATTCTTTCTCTTCTTGAATCTTTTTTTTTCTTTTATTATTCCAGTGGCTCAAGCGGTTCCAGTGATAATATTAATATGTCTCCTTCTGATCATCTTGGCGGTAGCAATTTCATTCATCATAATTTGTGAGTGTGCATTTTCACAACAAATCATCTGATAAAAAAGGTTGTAAATTTATTTTAGGAACATAGGAAAACCAAAAGAGGAGGCCATTCAGCACATCAGGCCTGTTTGAAAAGTTTATTAGATATTGGAAATGTTTTAAATTTCAATTCTATGCCAATTTCTGTACCTCTCAATACCTCCACTATTCAAATATGTATTTTTTTAACCATTCTACCTCTGTAGCTTTCTGGGCTATAGACTCTTGCCCGGCTTCACTGGTTTCCCCATCCCCTAGAAGATAGATTTCAAAATCCTCGTCCTTGCCTTCAAAGCCCTCCATAGACTTGCCCCTTCCTACCTCTGTAACCTGCTAACCCCAAAGCAACCTATCCGCTCCCTCTGCTCAGCAGGCTCCGGGAGGGAGTTTCTAACACTATACTGGTTAACAAATCCCCCAATAAAATTAATCACTTATTCCATGGCTGTTTGTGGGAAAACATTGCTGTGTGCAACTGACTGCCATGTTTTGGCCACAGAAATACAGTCAATCTACAGTCAATCCACTTCACAGTATATCCAGTGAAACACTTTGAGACATCTCGCTGATGTGATAAGGCCAATATCAAATTCAAGGATTACTATTGTAAAAAAAATGACTATCCTCCTTAGGTTGGGGGAGGTAAGTGGAGTGTCCTTGGAGCTGAATTGACTTGGCAAAGGAATTTAAGAATTGAGTCAACCTCTGGGCAATCTTGCTTCCTGAGCCAGGTGGGACTGTAGAACTCCAGGGCACTGCTGATGGCCGACCAGCCAGCTGGCTTATTTGCATATGCTGGAGGGACAGATCACTGATTCAGGAATTCTTCCAACTCAGCTCCTGTGAACCCTGAAAACCAAAGCTCTTATGGGAAGTGTAATCCTAACTGGACAAGCAGCTGGAAAGCCTGCCAGATAGTGCTCGCCAGTTTTTGCTGGTTAAATTCCAACAGTAGTCCAACACATTCTGAGGTCCCCAAAGCCTTGGCTCTTGATAGCTGCGCCTAATACTCACCAGAATTAGGTAACGAGGATCCGTTCCTCCAGGGAAGGTCCACGTTCCATTTCAATATACGGGAATTCCATGTATAGGTGGGATGCATACTACTATCAGTCTGGTTTCAATATCATTCTTTTAAGAATGGCGATCGGTTTCTGCGTACATCAGACCCCTGGCTGACCAAAAACTCCTGTAATAATTAAATCTGTCGGATTTCTTAGGCTGATATGAAATATTTATTTTTATTTTAGATGTATGCATGGAAAACAAACTGAAGGATATCGAAATAGAAAATAGGTCACTGACGATTAGGTTTCAGAATTTAATGACCAACCACAGTGAATTAATGACGTACAACAATGAATTAAACACCAGCCACAGTAAATTAATGACCGACTTCAATAAACTAAATAACAGCTACAATGAATTAATGACCAATCACAGTAAAGTAATGACCACCTACAATGAACTAAATACCAACTACAATGAATTAATGACCAGTCACAGTAAATTAATGACCAACTACAATGAACTAAATACCAACTACAGTAAATTCATGATCAACTACAATGAAGTAAGTACCAACTACACAGCATTAGATGATAAGGTCAAGAAATTTGCAAAGGATGTTCGTGATGGTAAGTATGACAGATGCTTATGCGTATTTCATCTTGAATTTTTCTGAGTAATAGATCTGCCTAGAATCTGTTAAGCTAGTCTGAACTCAGGTAATGCTAAATCCAAAATAAACTTCCAACTTTAAATTTAGTTTTGCTTCTGAACATGTTTAAAGAGTGCCCTTCTCTTAGATCCACCATGATATCAGCCCATACTAGGTTATGGTGGTGGCTGCTAGTCAGGCTACAGAGGCTCTGTGGTAGTTTAGAGCTGGGGTAAGGGTGTCTGGAGTTGGGCGCTGGGGCTTATGCAAATTAACTGTTCAACTGAAGAGGGAAGTGGTTTGATCAATTTTTCAACTGTAAAATGGAGATACTTCACAAATGGATATGTCTCTGGTATTATCTATCCCCTTTGGAACAAAAAATAATAAATTGTTCACTTCAATGCACGTCTATTTGTTGGACACTGCTGTGCACAATTGGCTGCTGCGTTTTGCCCACAAATATACAGTCAATTCACTTTACAGTATATTCTGTAAAGCACTTTAAGACATTTAAAAGATGTGAAAAGTGCTATATCAAAATTAAAGGATTATTATTATTATTAACACATAACTTCAATATTCCGCCGATATATATGAATAACTGTTATTTATGGAATCATATTACAGGTATAATTTCTCTTCACCCCTCGGGCTGGAACTATACTTCTTTCCGAAAGAGTGTCTACCATTTCTCAACTGATTCAACTAATTGGGCAGATGCCAATATTACTTGTGCCTCCATATCCTGCTGCTCACTTGTGATTGTAGATGATTCAGCTGAACAGGTGAGGCCAGTCTGTTGCAGATTTGCAGATGAACTCTACATTGTCCAACTGGAGCAAAATGATGCGAATAGTTTCTTCAGTGTGAATAATGTCTGGTTGCCAATCTGCCTGCATATAAATGATTTCCTGCAGGAATAATGTTAAACTCGGTACTATTGCAAGTGCTTCCTTTGTGCTGGGAGTTTGTAATTAATGCATTCTTGTATTAATGGCTGGAGATAATACGCAATCTTTTTGTTAGCTAAGTACAATTGAATTATCGTATCCATTTCAAATTCTGGTGGTTTGCATACCCATAACAGATGCTTCTAACTTTCCAATCAAACACTCCAGATTGACTTTACAACAACAATAGCAGCAACAACAACATGTATTTAAACAGCCACCCCCCATGCAGGGTACTGTCTCAGAGCGCTAAACAGTGGCGGTGCCTGACTCTGAGCTGAGGGCGAGGTGGGGGAGGTGGCCGTAAGCACGGTCGAAGAGGAAAGTTTTCAGATGGGACTTGAAAGAGAGGAGAAAGGTGGCAGGGTGGAGGGATTGAGGGAGAGTGTTCCAGAGTTTTGGGGTATAGTGGCTGAAAGCACGATCTCTGATGGTGGGTCGGAGGGTGCGATGGACGAGCAGGAGGCCAGTGCCAGTTGAACGTAGGCACCGGGTGGTGGATTAGGTTGTAAGGAGGTTGGAGAGGTAGAGAGGTGCCAGGGAATGAATGGATTTGAACATGAAAACCTTTAGCACAGGTTACATGCAGAGTAAAGCTCTAATCTGTCTAATTAGGCACTCCCAGGTCAGATACAACACAAGTTATTATAACAGTATTAATCCTTGTATTTGATACAGCTTCTATAATGTCAAAACATCTCAAAGAACTTCATCAGTAATTTGCAAGACCATAAGAGTGGTTTTGAGGAAGAAGATCCTTAGTTTAATTTGATCCCAGCCTTCTAGAATAGCCATCAAACCATCCTCCAAATACAGCATTAACATCAAGCTGTTTCTCAAATGAGTCCAGTATTTTAGCCTCAATCACCCATCCTGGTAACCCATTCCCATCAACAATTACCCTCTGGGTAAAGAATACTTTCTGGTATCCATCCTGAAATTGCCCTTTGGAACACTGAACATTGAGTCTTGTATACGTCTACAAGGTCTCCTCTGTGATGTCTCTTCAAGGCCCCTACCTGTTCAATAGTTGCTCATAGATTATTCCCCTATCACTGGGGATCATCATCATTCCTCTTTTCTTCACTGCCTCTAATACTCTGTACCACAGAGATCTGATATGTACACAGTACTCCAGATGTGACATGACCAGAGTCCTCCCTTTTTTCCCTCCCTATCTCTGCCACTTAAGCCATGATTGCCATCCCCCCTCTCCCCCCAAACCCTTGCACTGTCTCCTGTAGCCTGCAGGCTGATCCTGCCCCCCTGATCGCTGCTGGTCTTTGCATGCGTGTTTTGGCTCCCGACCTGAGCTCTCCAACTCTGCCCCCTCCTCAAACTCCGCCTTCATTTCTCCCCGACGACCCCAAATCCTCTCTATACCTCTCTTGCCTCCATCCCCACACCCCAACCTATTACTCCTTCTTACCTAAAGATTTTTGCTGATTTTATTATTGTTCTAACAGAAATTTATTTGCCAGCTTGCATCAATACCATAATAATCTTCAAATAAATAATAATCATTTGGAGTCCTGTAGCTCAGTGGTTGAGCACTCGCTTTGCAAGCGAGAGACCTGAGTTCATTTCCAGGCAGGGCGAAACCTTGGGCAAGTTTCCTTACTCCACACGCCTAATAATAATCCCTCCAAAACCAAAAACAATAATAAATTGGTCATTTTCAATCCATGACTGTTTGTGGGACATTGCTGTGCGCAATTGGCTGCCGCGTTCGCCCACAAATATACAGTCAATTCACTTTACAGTGTGTTCTGTGAAGCGCTTTGGGACGTCCTCCCGACGTGAAAAGCGCTATATCAAATGCAAGGATTATTATTATTATTATTATAATTTAATCACTCAATCCATGGCTGCGTGTGGGACACTGCTCTGCGCAATTGGCTGCCGTGTTTGCCCACAAAATATACTGATTTTATTTTTCTTACAGGAATTTATAAAAAATTATGACAAAGAGAAACGGTGGATTGGGTTGCAAAAAGATGGTGCTGGCAATGACTTTCAGTGGGTAGATGGAACATCTCTGGCTACAGCGTATGTTCATCCATTTTTTACTGTTTCACTTTAATAATTCTGTTCAATTCAAGCTCCTGTTGTCAAACTTGCTGATTCTCTGATTGTCATTAAGTTTTCCTCAACTGAAGATCTTTATTGGTGAGGCAGCAAATGATTTGTGTGACTGTATATTGAGAGTAAGCAATAAGACCGATACAATAAAGTACAATATAAAATTTGTAATACATCTTTCATATGAGGAGGACGTCCCAAGGCGCTGAAGAGTCAGGGGGGAAGGGTTGGTTGGGATCAGGGAAGGTGGAGGGCAGAGAGAGTGACTGAAACCATGGTTGAAGAGGATGGTCTTGAGGTGTGCCTTGACGGAGGCAAGGGAGGGAGTGAGGAAAGAGGAATGTGAGATGGAGTTCCAGAGGGTGAGGGCAGAGAGGTTAAAGGCCCGACCGCCAATGGTGGGGCGGGCCAGGTGGGGGTCATAAAGCAGGCCAGAGCCTGCTCAGTGGAGGGAGCTGACAAGTTGATTGAGGGGATTGTGATTGTTGTAGATGGGGCGGGAGAAAGAGTGTCAGGGGCGATAATGACAAGGATAATTGTGGAGTTACTCACATCATGGAAGACGGACTTTATCGTGGGAGGGCAGGATAGACCATCTTACATGGCTGCTCTTGTGCTGAGCACAGAATTGGATATCTGGTTGAAGTAAGGAGAAAGGCTGTAAGGCTATGCAGGAGGGACATCACTCAGAGATGGTAGGAGGGACAGGAGGTTCATGAAGAATGGGGGAGGGAGCTGAGGGGAACATGAAGGAGAGCGTAACAGAAGGGGATCATGTGGAATTGGTAGGGAGCTGGGAAATGGGAACAGAAATTAGCAGATTAATCAATCAATTAATTAATTAAAATGGAGAGAATAGGAAAAACATTTCCATACACAGAGAGGTGGAATTATGGAATTCTCTACTTCAGTTAGGGCAGGAACTATGTGCACATTTAAAAACAAAAGACTGAACTTGTGGTTAAGAGAGAATGATGTTGAGGGACATGGGGAAAATGTCAAGTTGGTAGGGACGATATCTCTACTCTTGTGGAGTCTAAATACCAGTTGAACTAAATGGGCCAAATGGCCTCTTTCATATCTCCGAATGGAAGATGTGGTGAGAGAGAGGAGGGAAAGCTGGAGTCTGAAGTGTCAGCCAAAGTGCAGTGTGTCGATTCTCCTTGGGGGTAATGTGAGCTGACCTAGCTCGAAGGTGACATGTTTGGCAAAGGAATGATGGATTCGAGCCAGCCCTCTGTGTTGGTCTCGGTTGTCCAGTCCCTGAGTCAGGCGGGTCCACAGTATTCCAGGGCACTGCTGACAGCACAGCCAGCCTGGCTCATTTGCAGGACCTGGTGGAAGGGCAGACCAGTCACTGGGGACAGGGAGTCACCCCACTCAGCTTTCAGTAACCCTGCAAATCAAAGCCCTAAAGAGTAGGTTGGTCTGTGCTGGACAAGTAGCAGCAAAGTTTTCCAGATAGTTACATCATTGCCCTAAATTTGGGGTTTGAAAGAACTCGGTGGAGGAGTCCGTGTAGTCAGTGTTGGTGTCAGGAACCAGGTGATATTTCTGTCAACTATGCTGACATATCCTGGTAAAGTATGCATTTTACAAACAATGTATTTTCCTTTTTGTTTTCAGGTTTTGGGCCTCTGACGAGCCAAACAATGAAAATACTGAATTCTGTGTTACTAAGGGCGCTGAGTTCGACCAGGACAAATGGAACAATGACATGTGCAATGCATTTCATCGCCGAATCTGTGAATTCAAACCAGAATGCTACGTAAGGAAAAAATTAGAAACTGACGATTAATTAAATGCCTCCTGCATATTCCTCATCCCCTCTGCTCCACCTCATCAGCCGAATATTCAGCCACTCACTACACTTCCAAACTCTAGAACTGAGGCTGGAGCCAAGAATTGGTATGGGGAAGGGAAAAGATGACCCAAAGCATGGTCAAAAAGTTAGGACTTGTCATGCCTTGAAACAAGGGAGGGTCTCAGAGGGACTCCAGTAATGGAACTACAGGTAGTGGGGGCAAAATGGAAATGGTTAGGCAGATGTGGTGGGGGGATATGAAGCAAGCTCGTGTTTGCAGTGCAAAAGGAATAGCCAGTTTGAGAGGTTGCATAGATATCGTATGGGGCTGGGAGTGGGGGGGGGGTGTCGGAGGAATGAAGGATGTTGAGAGGTTTCTCACTAGGGAACTAGGGAGCTTTCTCTGGAGAATCTATCCCTCACTCGGTATCTGTCCTCAGCCCTCCCCGGGTGGCTGAGGGAGGCTACGATCGTCTTGCCTGACAGTGAACCATGAAAAAATGTCTTTAATTCTCCTCTGCTCTCTCCCCTCTCCCTCACACTTTCTCTCCCTCCATCACACGCTTTCCCTCTCTACCCCACTCTCCTCTGGCGCATACACTCTCTCCTTCTCTCACAAACTCTCTCTCACTCCTCTTCTTACACTCTGTCCCACTCCACCTCCCCCTTCTCAAACACACTCTCCTCCTCTCTCTCATACACTCTCAACCCTCTCACAATCTCTCTCAATGTCTCTCTCTCTCCCCACCTCTCTCACAGTCTGTGTCTTCTGCTGTATCTTTAAGTGAAGTTTTGTAGATGATTGCGCTTGTAACTTGTTAGAAATTAATACAGTTTGTCCTTTATCGATTATTCTTGCTTTGTTAAGTATAGTTAAGTTGGAATGTGTAATAGATAGCCTGTGTTATGTGAGAAGTAAGGCAAATGAGTGGTGAATGTGAGTAATAATTAGGTGGTATTATTAGGTGAGGAGTATCAACAAGAAAACAATATCTGTGAGCCAAACCAAATGACCTAGAAGATCAGAAAAACATGTTTGTCCTGTGTATGAATATGGAACACTAATTAGCCTGAAGTTGGGATAGACCCAGAACGTAAACAAGGAAGAAAGTGCAAAGAAGCAAACTCATGCAACTATATTCTCCGGATTGCTATATAAAAGGTTAATTTTCACTGCTCTGGTCAAGGTGACAAAACATCATTGTGTCCATTTGTGATCAGGGCTCCCTTTGCCTCCTTTGTCCTTCTTGACTTCTCTGCTGTCTTTGATACCATGGAACACTCCATCCTCCTCCACTGTCTTTCCTTTCACCTCAACTTTCAAGGTTCTGTCCTTGAATGGTTCAGGTCTTATCTCTCGTCTCCAATTTGTCTTCCCCAACGGTTTCTCTTCCAGCCCCCACACAGTCTTGTGTGATGTTCCCAGGGCTCTGTCCTCGGTCCCCTCCTCTTCAACCTCTACATTGAAATTGGCATTGAAATGCCAGCCTTGACTGTAAGTTCAAAGTCCCTCTGTCTTCTCTGTCTCAAAGAGAGTGCTGCCGACTGAGCCAAGCTGAACACCAGAACTTTGAATGTTTGTTTCAGCAATAGCTGAGTCCTGTTACTGGAGTCCTGTAGCTCAGTGGTTAGAGTACTCGTCTTGCAAGTGAGCCACCTGGGTTCAATTCCAGGCAGGGCGAAACCTTCGGCAAGTTTTCTTACTCCACATGCCCAATAATAATCCCTTCCAAACAAAAAAATAATAAATTGGTCATTTTCAATCCACGGCTGTTTGTGGGACACTGCTGTGTGCAATTGGCTGCCGCGTTTCGCCCACAAATATACGGTCAATTCACTTTACAGCATATTCTGTGAAGTGCTTTGAGACGTCTAGAAGGTATGAAAAGTGCTATATCAAATGCAAGGATTATTATTATTGGTGACATCATCTGCAGATATGGGATAAACTTCCACATGTGCACAAATGACACCCAACTCTATTGCTCTGCCTCGATTCCATGGCAACTGACGTCCTGACAGACTGTCTGTCTGACATCAAGTCCTGGATGAGAGCCAACTTTTTACAGTTGAAGGTCAGCAAGACGGAGGACCTCCTGATTAGCTCGCATCAGCGCCTCAGCACCTTGGGTACCTGCAGCATCAGCATCCACTTCACCAAGCCAGTTAGAATCCTGAGTGTTTTGTTCGATCCTCACTGTCTTTTCTCCCCCATATCTGTGCCATGAGCCGCTCTGTGTTCCCCCACCTCCACAACATTGTCCGACTTCTCACTGCCACATGCTTCAAGCTGCCGAAACCCTCATACGCATATTCGTCACCTCAAGGCTCAACTACGGAAACTCCCTGCTCCCGGGAACAGCGGTCACCAGAGTGGGGCCTGGGGTCCAGGAGATCGGGATCAGCAGTAGCCAGAGTGGGTGCTGGGGTCCAGGGCATCGGGACGGAGGCAGCCAGAGTGGGGGCTGGAACTGGCAAGAGCTCGAGGCAGGGCCGGGATTCTGGGGAACTGAACTGATTGCTCATGAACTGCCTCCTATTCCTGATCCTCACCCTGGTTCACCAGCCACCTCCAGCTGCTCAAGGGCCAGGTGTGGGCTACTAAACGCACTTGACTCAAGTCCAGCCTAACTGTCCATTGCTACATCTTGCTGGACCTCATCAAAACCTACTGCTCCACTCTTGCCTCAGCCAAATCACCTTCTACGCCAGGTTAATCCTGTTCTCCATCACCAACCGGCACCTCCACCCTTGCCACCAGGCCTTGCAGATTCTTTCTTCCAACTCCCACTGCAAGGAAATGCTGGAATTTCTCGAGTCCAAAATCGAGGAAATCTGCTCAGCTGCCACAGCCCTCCCAACTTCCACCCCCTCCCTACCCTGCCCTCATACTCTGACCACTACTCATCCCTCCTTCCACACCTTTGAACCTGTCACCCCCTTCTCTGTCATCACCACCATATCCTCCATTAAGCTCCTTCAATCGCAGATCCACCTCCTTGTCCCACTACTCGCCGACATCATCATCTGGGACTTTTCCTATCCCCTTCAAAACAGCCACTATCACCCCCACATTGAAGAAACCTTCCCTTGACCCAACACAGCTATCCAGCTACCGGCCCATCTCCCACCTCCCTTTTCTGTCCAAGGTCTTTGAGAGAGCTGTTGCTTCCCAGCTTCGCTCTTTCCTCTCATCCCACTCCCTCCATGAGCCCCTCCAATCGGGTTTCTGTGCTGCCTGCAGCACGGAAACTGCTCTGTTCAAGGTCACATATAATCCTGACCATGTTTGACCAGGGCTCCCTCTGCCTCTTGTCCTCCTCGACTTCTCCGCTGCATTTGATACTGTGGACCACTCAATCCTCGTCCACCGCCTCTCCTCCCACCTCAACCTTCAAGGTTCTGTCCTTGACTGGTTCAGGTGCTACCTTTCACACCGCCTCCACAATTTCTGCAAACTCTTTCTCCCGCACTGTCTCGTGCGATGTTCCTCAGGGCTCTGTCTCGGTCCCCTCCTCTTCACCCTCTACATGTTCCCACTTGGTGACATCATCCACAAACATGGGATAAATTTCCACATGTATGCTGATGGCACCCAACTCAATCTCTCTGCCTCCACCCTGAACGACTGCCTATCCGACATCAAGTTCTAAACAAAAAACAACTTTCTCCAACTGAACGTCAGCAAGACCGAGGCCCTCCTGATTGGCTCACGCTAGCGCCTCTGCACCTTGGGCGCTGGCAGCATCAGCCTCCAGGCTGCCCCTCCTACCTCTCTGACCTGCAGACTCCCTACCACCTGCCCGCTCCCTCCATTCAGCAGGCTCCGGCCTACATCATGTCTCCTGTCCTACCATCGGTGGCCAGGCTTTCAGCCTCTCTGCCCCACACTCTGGAACTCCAACCCACAGTCCCTTTGCCTTGCTTCCTTCCTTGCCTCCTTCAAGGCCGGTCTCAAGACCCTCCTCTTCAATCGTGCCTTCAGTTTCCCTCCCACCTTTCTGCCTTCCCTCAACCTTATCCCACCCCTCCCCCATGCTCGGGTCCTGTTCCTTGACTGTCCAGTGCCTTGAGACGTTCTCCCGACATGAAAGGCGCTCTATAAATGTAATTTTATTGTCACTGTTATGTATCCTTATCATTTTGTATTCTGACTTTTGCTCTCATTCCTTCTTTTTCTTATCTTTAGGTTGCTATTATTTCCACATGATCCCCTTCACTGGTTTAAATTCTTTTCTCCAGTCCTATTTATCCTTTGAACCTTGGACCCACTCCAAGTCAGGTGCGGCCTATCCCAGCTATCAAGCTCCTTCCTGTCCCAGTACTCATGACCTCTGTCCCCTTAACTTTACAATTCCCTATAACTACAACTTTTCTATTGATCTCCTCCCATGTTGAACTGCTTTCTGCTTCAAAGAGCCTTGGTTAGCATTCTGACCATTTCTACCTCCAGCTTTCTTCCTTATCTCCAAAGGTAGCCAGCACATTGTACCTGTTGAACAGACAAGTTCTTGGGGTTCCTCATTCACTTTTTCCTCCTTCCTCCTTATTATTATTATTCTCTGTCTCCACTAGGTTGCCGTTCCTCCTTCAAGGCCGGTCTCAAGACCTTTCTCTTTGACCGTGCCTTCAGCTCCCCTCTCGACTCTCTACCTCCTCCTCGCTCCCTCCCTTCCCTCCCCTCACCCTCACCATTTCCCCCTTGCTCGGGTCCTGACCCAACTGTCCAGGGCCTTGGGACGTCCTCCCGATGTGAAAGGCGCTCTATAAATGGAATCTTGTTGTTATTGTTGTTGTTGTTGCCCCTACCCTGCTGACTGTCAGTCAAGAACTCTTCTTTTATTTGAAGGTAAGTGCAGCAGTCAATTTGTGCACAACAATGTTCGATGAACAGCCATGAAGTGTACATCTGTCTGTCTCTCTATCTCTCTGAATTCTTTCTCTCCCTCCATGTCTCTAACGCTTCACTGTAATAACTGTAAGAAACCCCTGAATAAACAACTAATCTTGCTCATTTAGGATTCCTTGTTTGCATGTTGCAACTGAATTCCACCACCTCCCGACATTTACTTTATGGCCACTTCTCTGAATGAAGATAAGTCTTCAAATCTGAGACACCATCAACTTCAAAGTACATCCTGATATTGAAGGTACTTTTTAATGAAAAAAAACACACACCTTAAATTCGAGTAAATCTGATCTCAGCTGGAGGAAATATAATTGCCGAGGGCATGACAGTTGACTTGGGTTTCTGCTCCTTATTGTTTCCAGTGGCCATTGGGAATTTATATTTCAGCTGATACATTGAGCAGGTTTCAACAACAACAACTTGGATTTATATAGCGCCCTCCACGCCAGACGGCATCTCAGAGCGCTTTAAAGTGATGGATCCCGGGACTGAGCCAGGGGGAGGGGGAGGAAGGTGACCAATGGTCGAAAAGAAATGTCTTCAGCAGAGACCTGAAAATGGGAAGGGAGGGAGCGAGACGAAGGGAGTGAGGAAGGCAGTTCTAGAGCCTCAGGTCATAGTGGCTGAAGGCATGGCCGCCGAGGGTGGAGCGGAGGACTCGGGGAACGAGGAGGAGGCCAGACCCGGAGGAACGAAGGCAACGGTTACTGTTTTGAGGAGAGAGGAAGTCAGAGAGGTAGGGGGGTGCAGAAGAGTGCAGGAACTTGAATACAAAGGTGAGGACCTTGAAATCGATCCTCTCTGAGATAGGTAGCGAGTGCAGTCTGGCAAGGACTGGGGTGATCGGGGAGCGGAGTTTCGTACGGGTGAGAATGCGGGTGGCAGAGTTTTGAATGATTTGGATTTTATGGATGGTAGTGAATGGGAGACCGGCAAGGAGGGTATTGGAGTAGTCCAGCCGAGAGGTGGTAAAGGCATGGACCAGGGTTTCAGCGGCTTTTGGGGAGAGGTATTGGCAGAGACGGGCGATGCGTCGGAGGTAGTAGAAGGTGGTGCTGGTGAGGGACTGGATGTGGGGGAGGATAGGTTGCGAACGGGTTTGGAGAGTTTAAGGGGAGGTCGGGTAGGTGGAGGAGGTGAGAGCCGTGAGATTTTAGACGTTGACGAGAGCCAAAGTGTATGGCTTCCATCTTGTCAACGTTCAGCTGAAGGAAGTTTGCGCTCATCCAGCCCACGATATCTGACAGGCAGGCTGACAGAACATCAGGGGACTGGGAGGTCGCAAAGAAAGGTGGAAAAATGGAGTTGGATGTCATCTGCATACACGTGGAAATGTAACCCACATCTACGGATGACATCCCCAAGAGGGATCATGTAGATCAGAAAGAGGAGGGGGCAAAG